ACGGATCCTTGAACAACTTTTAAAAATATTTGAAAACTTTTTCAAAAAGCATATCAGTTTTTTCATACTGCTTTTCATGGTAGACAAAGGAGGATAATGAACTGATGTTTTGTTATTTTTTTTGTAATGGACTCTCACATGGAGTGAGGGCTGACAGAGGGTGGTGGAGAGTTAAGAGCCCTGCAGCCAAGGGGAGGTTTTCTTCTGTGTGTCAGCCATTTGCAGCAGAGTACCTTTCCTGGGATGTAGCTCCAATTAGAGAGCCAAGGAACGGAAACCGGGATTTTGGATATACTGTACTGTGTTTCAAAATGAGTTGATGGTGAAGCCGAGGATAGTTTTTCAAAGGTTTGGGGGAAATCAAGCAGTCTCTCATCTGTTGTCAGTTAATGAAACGAAACTGGACTCACAAGGGCACAACATCAAATGAAAGGCCAGTGAATGGAAAACGCTGTCAATGAAGGGGGCGTCAGCAGGGTGGGGCACTGTCAGAGGTGAAGAGATTGGGGAGAATGTGCTCCTGGCTGAAGTAGTGTTTTCTGGAAGTGACAGGAGCTACAATTCGGGACATTTTAAGCCAGACTGAAATGAATGAGTGCTCAGATTTCATTGAAACCTGTTAAATATTTTAAAATATTTGACTCTTTGTTTTCTGGCTAGATATTAGTTGAAAATATTTGTAAACAAGAGGTTCTTGTTTTGTTTGATAATGTTTTACAAGGTAGTGTTTGTTGCTTTGGCTTTTTTTGTTCTGAGATTGAACAGTGTGGTTGTGTTGTGTTTTGTTTTTTCCACTTATTTCTGTTCCCTGTCATGGAATTTTTCAGAGCCACGTTCACTTTTGAGCCCCACTGAAGTCAGTGATCTAAGACCTCTGTACTAATTAGTGAAAGACTTGGATGGACTCTGGACAGCTAGGCTGGCTGGCTATGACTCTTGTGGAATTGTATCTTTCTGAAAGTTGTTCTGTAGAGGGTGCTTGAAAGCCAAAACATAGCTTCAGTTTCACTACCAAGTTGGAAACTATAATCATGAGCAAGCCAGTGACTGTATTTACGCTTCATTTAGCTCATGTGTAAACTCTGATGTGTGGGCTACGTGCAAAATATATTTGAAGAGTCTCTTGTATCTCTGGTCATGTCAGACCCCTTCTCTTTTTTTTCATTGAACTGTTTGAACAGTATAGCTTCAGGGAAACACACTCTTCCGTCATTTTGGGAGAGGGCATGACCACTGCTAGTCCGGTGCTGACAACTGTCAGGTCACAGTGGAGCTGGACCCCGTGCGTACGGACAAGGCTGTCCCTGCAGCCCGGGGAGAGTCGGAGCTAACGTCACAGAACTTAGAGAGAGGAGCACTCATTCTACCTCTGCCCAGTGTTACACAAAGTGATTTTTGCCTCCATTTTCTTTTCTGGAAGGGAGAATAGTAATTATTACCTATATCAGAGAGTAGTTATAAAGATTGAGGAAATACTTGTAAAGTGTTTAAAGCAATGCTTGTCACATGGTAAATTTTCAGGACATTCTGTGACTATTACATGATTACTTACATAATTTATAAGTATGATTACTTATACATTTCAAATGGAATTCAAGTAGAATTTCCTTGGATCCTGTGGTTTCTGTTTCCCTGAGAACATTTATTGGAACATTGTTTTGTTAGATTTAAATGACAGTCCATCCTATGAACTAACTGTAGCAGAGCCAGAAGAGAAAAAAATATGAGGACAGTTCTTTACCAAAACACAAGATCACCTAATTTTATGAAAGTTACAACTTAAAGTTGTACAATTAATTAGAATCAAAATAGTGCATGTCAGTTATGTTGGGTGGATATAAGGAAAGAATGATGAAAATCTTTGCCATTCACTGCTAGAACTACCTTGAGGGGAAAAGCTTCACCTTAAATAACAACTATATTATGCAGTTAGAGAAACTGGAAAGGAGCAAAACATTAATAGAAATAAAACTAAATCCTAACAGTGGGCACTCATACACCAGTACTGCCTGACCCCTTTGTTGAGATTGTCTGCGGGTTGTATTTATAGTATAGGAGTTTTGATTGACTCCATTTAGTAGTTGCAGTGGCCATAATCCAGCATTTCTGTAAGTTTCAATTCCACTAGCAATTAATAGGTTTTTAGCGGGAATTCCATGGTCAAATATGTTTGGAAAAGTTCATTTAGCTTAAATAAATTAAACTGGTTTCTTTGAAGATACTCTTTGGCTCCTTTAATATACTAGTGAGTGCTATGACTCTCCCAGAGAGACAGGAGATGCAGTGTTTCTCTTACTTTTTGGACAAAGTCTTCCATCTTACCAGCCTCTTGTAGGACAGCAGTGCGTGGAGCACTCTGAGGAAGGTAACCTTACAAGCATTGCTTTCTTACTTGGTGTCTCAAGAGGTGTAGCCAAACAGCTAGCTGCAGATCAAGGGTGGGGGAAGACCTCACAGATGGCGCTGTCCTTGTGCCTAGGGTGGAATAATAATTGCTGATACCTGTCAAGAGCTTGCTGTGTTCCACACAGAATACTCAGATGTGTTAATCATCTCAACACACATATGAGGTAGCTGTGATCATCATCCTCATTATACACACGAAGAGGCCAAGAGCCAGAGGGCCTAAATAACTTTATCAAATAAGACAGCTGGAAAGTGGTGAAGCCAGGATGAGCACGCATGCAGGAGCTTGTGCTCTGGTTTTCCCTGTGGTACGACCATGGGGCTTGTGTGTATGCGCCACGGCCTCTGCGTGCGCACATGTGGGCGGGCCAGGGGTGGCATTCCTGGGCAAGAGATAGCAATGAATTTGTATGGATGAAGCTCATGTTTGGAAATCGTGAGAAGTGAAGCTGTACAGGTAGATCCTGAAGGCCTCATCCATCACGCAGAGGAATTCCTGATTTCTGTGATGGACCTCCTCTGCCCAGCACATCACCTTAAAAACTTCAGCAAGTTTAAGAACTTAAAGTGCAGATAATCAGCAGGTGCAGGCCAGGAATATACATACTCTGCCCATTTGCAGGTGGCTCAGTTGTCACAACTTGCTGCCATCTTAGCTCACTGCGTCTTGGGCCCCGAACTAAGCACGGACAGTAGACAGGGGTCCCGCTGGTGGTCGTGCTTGAGTTGAACACAGCACAGGGTGATAGGAAGGGCTTTCTCTTCCTCTCAGCTCCTAGTCCTTCCTGTAGTTTGGGAACACACAGTTTAGACAAGTCTGTTAGAAGGAGATGGAGATAACTTTAGTGAGGTGTTTAGGGTCTTCTCTAAGGCTCAATTGAAGAGGTAGTAAAAAAAAAAGTGAGAGTGTATTTTTTTTTTTTGCTCGAACTTGGGACCTTGCGCTTGCAAGGCAGGGGTTGGCACCACTGAGCTAAATCCCCGGCCCCATTGGGACTGTATTATCTTCCAATAAAACTTACCATATTAACTGTTTTTTAATTTAAAGTATTGATTACTATTATGAATCAATACTATTATAAATTATAAGTATTCTCTATAATTCAAATCTTCTTGGTTCCTGAGTTTCGGCTTATTAAGCAGTGAGCATTTGGATGGCAAGGGATTTATATGAAAGTCTGTCAGAATCTATTTGGCTCCTGGGTTCGAATTCGGATAGCAAGGTATATTTAGATTGGAAAACCAGGTAAAGACCACCTTCATTCTTCTCCCAGAGGCCATGAGAGTTCCTCCTTCACTTGGGAGTGGTGGTGAGACTGTGACTTAGTGAGGGCCACAGAGCAGAGTGTTAGGAGGGAAGGACACAGGCCCTCCTGTACCCAAGCAGTGCAGGGTCCTCAACACTTCCTTCTGGTTAGTGCTCAGCAAAAAGAACAGATCTCCAGATATCGATGGTAATTATAGGAACCCTAACCAACCTTGATTAATTGCCTAGAGTCCAAGGACTTGATAGGCTGTTTCTAAGAGTAGAGGTGAATATATCTTTGAAATGAAAAAATATGCATGGTAGGATGACTGAAAGTTAATTCTAGAAAATTTTTAGCATGACCAATTTTATTTTAAAGTAATTCAGCCTTGGTTTACAATTTTAAAACTTTTTATTTTATGAAAATTAAAATTTCATAACCAAATAGAGAATAACAATAGCTATTGCACTGTATGTCATTATCTTCAAAGTAGTTACTCAAAGTACAAGACATAAACCAAAAAGATTCATACCAAAAAACCCCAGATAATAACACAACACTTTTCAACAACAAAAAATAGCCTGGTGGGCTGGGGATTTAGCTCAGTGGTTTTGCCGCTTGCCGCTCAAGGGCAAGGACCTGAGTTCGATCCCCGGTACCAAAAAAAAAAAAAGCCTGGTAATATAAATGAAACACATTGGCATATATATTGAAATATTTTTAAAATAGAATATGTAATTTGTAGTATTCATATACAATGGAGTACTATGCTGCCATAAAGAAAGATAAACTTGAGGCATTTGTAGGTAAATGGATGCATCTTGGAACCATAATGTTAAAAGAAATAAGTCAGAACAAAAGCTCAAATATCACACCCCCCCAATATAGGTAGCACACAAAATAGAAGAGCAATAAATAGGAAGTAGGGAGATGTTCACATTTTTTTTAATATCCCCATTTTGCTTCTATGAATAAATGGTTTGGCCTTTTGCCATTGACTAAAAATTCTCTTTGTGCTCCACAAAAAGAAGCCTGCATGAGGGTTGGAAGTAGAGAGCAAATGTAATAGGGTCTGCAAGGGCAAAGGAGACGTCTGAGGAGCCTGAGGGTCACCCCCAAGGGCCTTCAGGACATGCATGTCCAAATTGTGCCTCGCACACCGGGCTCGGTGCTGGGTAACACATCTGGGTTGGCTTCAGCGGCTGGAGAGGGATTCTTTTTTTTGGAGAGGGATTCTTGCACAGTGGTGTCCACTTGGATCTGTGAGACTTGATTTTTCTGCTTTAAACCGCTTTGTTGGGTAGTTACGGAAGGTGCCTGGCATAATTCTATGATGTTTATTCTCAGGTGGGTTTGCTGAGTTCTCTCGTTGTTTCCCTGGCCTCTGTGAAGGAAAATCTACCCTAGTCCCTACCTGCATTTCTCAGCCTTGCTTACCTGTTGCCAACATTGGGCCAACCCGAATTCTTCCCAATCTTTATCTTGGCTGCCAGCGAGATGTCCTCAACAAGGTGGGTGCTTTGAAAATATCCTTCACTGCTGGGTTTATTGGTAGCAGCTGGGAAAACAGCATTTGCCCATTAACTGTCGTTTGAAACACACTGCAGTCCCAGAAAGGAAGAACACTGTTTGCAGTGAGACTCCCCAGCTAACGGTTACATCATCTTTTGGAGTGTTATTTTGTTTGATGTTATTTATTGCCACAGGAAATCCAAACTATGTCATATTTGCTTGTTTCCTTGTAGGTCCAAAAGACCTGAAATAGGACAGGCTTTTTAGCCTTATTAGGCTATTGGTTTATTATAGTAATTGGGTGCATGCAGCAAGATTAATGCATGCACATTTAGTGATGTATTTATTGTGGCACACTGGAAGGGGACTCACATTGGGCTCCAGTTGAAGACCTCTGGGCTGGAGGGTGGGGGAGAGGCGGTCAAATACAGCGAGAGTGGTAAGCGATGGTGAAGATCAAGGCTGCAAGTATGTACTGCCAGCCCCATTATGTCTAAGGCTTGTTGGAAGAGCTCGGTTGAGTAAAAAGAGCAGAGAGCATGGATTCTTGCTGAAGGGGTTGGCAGTACTGAGCAGGCGCACGCTAATAGAGGAACACAGATTAGATTGGAAACCCCTGTATGTAATGGTACATACGTCACAATAACGGAGCTATAATCTGACTCCACAGCTATATGCTTTTCACCAGTAGTGCTGTGAAACAATGCTCATATTGCCTGGAAAGTTTTCTTTAAAACTTTGTAATTTATGACACCACAGATTGAAAAGGCAATCAAAGATCCTAATGCAGCTACAGGTAATTTACAAACGCTAGTTTCCCATGTGAAGGGCTGTAGCAGTTCCTAACATTTTCTCCTTCAGTGACTAGAACAATCGGGCTGTAGCTCTCTCTAGCGAGCTTTCCCAGAAGGGAAAAAAATAACTATCTAGGGCCTGGGATTTAGCTCGGTGGTTTTGCCGCCTGCTGTGCAAGCGCAGGGACCTGAGTTCCATCCCTGGTACCAAAAAAAAACAAAAAAACAAAAAAAAAAACTATCTTTGGGCAACAATGAGCCATTATTATTTATTCCTCTTTTTTTCCTCAAGATTTCTGCCTCTTTAAAATTTTGCTCCAACACTGTGTTGTTAATGTTTGTTCTTACTGTGAGATCTGCCTATTGGATATTTGATAGCTTATGCTTGTATGGAGCCTTTCTGGTAGGGCCTCAATGCCTTTGAGCTTGTGATTATTATTAATTTTATAATCAAACTACGCTACAGAAAGCAAAGTTAATTTTCTAAAGTCACATGCATTCTTGAGGCAAAGCCAGAGAGGGTTTATTTAGTTCCCAAATTGGAAAATAAAATTCCTAGTTAAGGATCCTGTTTAATCTGGTAAACTTTAACCAGTTAGTTAGCAGGTAATTTTACATGGTGACTTTTGTTATTTTTGACATTAAATGAAATGGTACCTTTGTTTTGCTCTATGCTTTTTTCAAATTTAAGAAATATAAGTCAGTTCACAACTTAGGACAAGACTTGAGAACAGGGAAAGGATGGTTTTGTTTTGCATTGCCTTCCTGCCTCCTAAACAGGCAGCAAGCAGGGTACATGCAGTGCTTGTGGGGGAGAGCAGGCTCAGGACAGTGTGGTTCAGCAGCTGGGGCAAGGAATCGTAATGCAGCACTGTCCAGAAGCTGCTTCCAGATGGATGTGCAGACCTGGGAAAGTGAGAAATAACACTGGCAGGCTGGACAGCTTTGAAAGTGTTGAGTCGGAGTTTATAGTGAAGAATGATTTTAATTCTCATTGTGGTCTTCTTTCAGAATTGTTCCCTTTGTTTTTAGTCCAAGCTCTTTTGTTTATTCTGCTACATTGCATTCATTAGACCTTGTTGTATCACTGACATCTGAGCAGCTGCCTTCTATACAGTAAGTACAGTTCATCATCAGTGGCACTGCTTGGTCTCTATGCCCAGAGCACCCTATGCAGAGTATGCTGATGCATAGAAAAGTTCTGTGACATGCCTTTGACATCCTTTGGTGACATTTTATTTTAGAAAGACTAATAAAATCAGTGACCTTGTGGATGCTATTTTTAAAGACCAGCTTCTGAATTTTAATAGAATGGGATATACCATTAGGGAAGATTACAAAATTTTAGCATGTCTTTAAAAATTATTTAAGTGACCATACCTCCTAAAAACTTTTCTCATGCTGTTTACTCAGAAAACCCCTTAATAAATCTGAGAAACAGGTAAAATAGTCTTTCACAAATTATGAAATGAATGGAATATAAGTGAATGACATTTGGCTATTATAAAATGAAAATGTTGGGCCTGGGGTTTAGCTCAGTGGCACAGTGCCTGCCCCTAAAATGAAAATGTATAAGGAAGGTACAAAGATTCTTTATCAAAAGATACCAACAATCTAGTTATTAGATCCTGATTTTAATCATTTGAAGGATAATGGTTCATTCATCAGCTACTCATTAAGCCTCTGCTGTGTGCCAGACTATGTTCTGGGCTCTGAGGACACCTCAGTAAATGGGACATGAGCTGATCTCCTGGAGGAAAAGAAATCTGACAGCATAATAAGTGGGTAAGCTGGACAGAGCAATTTATTATTGATTGCCTATTTATTATGGTGACAAGTGCTATGAAGAAAATAGAGGAAGAGGCAAGGAGTGCCTGTGGGTGTGGGTTGTGATGAAACGGGTGGCGAAGAAAAGCCTGTGAGATAGAGACATTTGAACAACCCTTGGAGGAGGTCAAAGAGCAAGCCATTTGGATACCTGGAGGAAGAGCAGCACGGGCGAAGACTGGTGTCCACGTGACAAGGGAAGCGCAGGGAGACCAGGGTGGCTGGGGCAGCAGGAGCCTGGAGTGTGGTCAGAATATGGAAGGAGGAGGTCAAGACTATAAGACATTGCAGGCCTTGTGAAGGTGCCAGCTTTTGCTGCTGAGGCCCTAGTTCAGTGGTAAGCACTTGCCTGGGATGCATGAGGCCCTGGGTTCAATCCCCAGCACTGCCAAAAGAAAAACCGTTAGCCTTTGCCGGCATGGTAGTACATACTTGTGATCCCAGCTACTCAAGAAGCTGAGACAGGGTGATTGCAAGTGTGCCAGCCTAAAACTCCAGCACCTCAAAAACTTTTTTTAAAATGTTAGCTTTTACTTGAAGGACAGGGAGTCTCTGAAAGGTTCTGAGCAAAAGGGTAACGTGATCTGACTTGCTTCTGTGTGGAAAGTAGGCTGTATAAGGAGGAGGCCACCTGGTAGTGGGACAGAATCAAGGTGGTAGTGGTGGTAGGATTCTGGTTCTTATTTGAACATATAGCCAGATTTCTTAAGGTGTGGACAATAGAGGTGCATGAAAAAGACAGGGTCAAAGAAACTGGGAGATGCACTTGCCATAGGGAAGCCTGTGGGAAGAGCAGGACAGTTGTCTTGGACATGCTAGCTTGAAATGCCTTTTGCACTTCCAGGTGGATGTGCTGAGCAGGCAGATGGGTGTCTGAATTCAAGACGATGTTCCTGTAGGAGGATGTATAAATGTGGGGGTCATCAACGTTCAGACAGTATTTAATGCCAAAAATAATAATATTATTAAGAGAAATATATAATTGGAGGAAAGGACTGAGCCATGGGGCATTCCAGCCTTAAAATCTGGGCAGTTGAGAAGGATCCAACAAATGGTATTTAGAAATAAATTCTGAAGAAGAAAGGAAATCAAGATTGTAGTAGTCCAGGAAACAAGTCAACAAAGTGTTTTCTAGGAAGATAGAGGAATCAGATATGGCAGATGGTGCTACAGGCCAATGGGAGGTGAGAACTGAGGGCTGGCTGTTGAGCAAAGTGGAGATCTCTGGTGATCTTCAAGGAGTTCTGGTAGAGTGGTGGCGAAAACCTGAACAGAACGGGTTCAGGAGGTAACAGGACAAGAAGAGTTGGAGATAGTAAATGTGAGCAGCTCTTTCAAGAAATTTTGCTAATAAGAGCAGCATACATGTGGAGCAGTAGCTGGAGGAGAAAATGGAGAGGAAATCCTTTTAAGAAGGGAGAAATACTGGTTGGCTTAATTGCTGATAGAATGACCCAGAAGAGTGGAAAATTAATGTAGGAGAAAGGCAAAGAATAGCTAGAGCCATATCTTGAATAAGCGGGGTGGGGTTTATGAAGCAGTAGATGTCTGGCCGTAGGCGTTTGGACAACTTTATGCATGGTGACACACAGGAAGGCAGAGTAGATAGTGCATGTGCTGGTAGAAGGGTAAAAGTGGAGGTGGAAGCCTATCAGATTTCTTCTGATTGTTTCAGCTTTTCCAGAGTAGTTGGAAACAGGATCATCAGTGAGCTTAGGGTGAGGATGAGCAAGGACACATAGGGCATTGAAGAAAAAGGGAAATGTGTGGAAAGGCAACTCAGAGAGGGAAAGTGAATGGAGTAGAGAAGCAGGGATTGCTGAGTGGAAAGTGAGCGCAGGTAGCATTCTGGTCTTTCCCTGGCCTTGTTCAGGTGTCTGGGCGCAAATGCTGATGAGCCAGAGAACTGGTTTTGCCTGGGTGTGGAACTCTGCCACCTGAGAGTGAAGAAGTGATAAAGGGGCAGAGGAATTGAGGTAGAGAGCAAGGGAGAGGTTGTAGTGACTGACACAGAGTTTAAGCTGCAAAGAGAGCAGGCAGACATGAGATGAGAGACAGAAGTGGGCAGGGCGATCAGATTGCAGATGTGCAGGAGAGAAGGGTTCTGGGAGTCGGGCGAGTGAGAGCGAGCTGCAGAGTGGGGTCTATGAGGTGCAGGTTACGAGAAGGTTACGGGGACTGGTAAGGATGGAGCCAGGCAGGGCTTCATGGGAGCAAGCAGCCAGGTGACAAGCTCAGAGAGCTGCAAGACCAAGGAGCTGAAGTATCTGCCGCCAGCGAAGGGTTTCCCATATCAGTCGGAGCATGTGTTAGCACACTGGGTATGAAGTTGAGCTAAGTATTTAACAGCATTAGATGACTATTTTCTGGAAATTTAAATATGATGATGTTTAATTATGGGACAGGATATTCAGTTTTGTATATGTTTTCTTCATTATGCCAAAACAAAACCGAGTGATTATGTACTTTAAATTTAATGAGGTGATGCTATCCATGATTAAAAATATTTCCATAAAATACTCATTCTTCGTAATTACAGTTCTGTCTCATGTCCACCATTAAAAACATTAAATGCTCTATCTGCCACGTGTATGTATGCCCATAAAAAAAATCAAACATCAATCAGTAAGTGAGTAGAATAGTTGTGTTACACTTCAGAAACCTCCATCTGTCCAAGTCCTCCACAGGCTGGGCAGCCTCTGTGGGGGAACACGCCTGCCTCTGCAGTCCCACAGTGTTCTTGTCAAAGTCAGCTTTGTGTACACATCTGTCATCATAATAGTGCTCATTAATAAAATATTACACGTACTAATGGTCTTTCCCTGGCCTTGTTCAGCTGTCTGGGTGCAAATGCAGATGAGCCATGAGGAAAAATGGTTGTTTCTGTATGACCTAATTAAATGTTTCGGAAAGATTCAAGAAGTTGGTTTTTTTCCTTGTCACATTAGGTGGGCATAAGCAACTGTAAAATACTTGGCAATCGTTATCTCAAAGGCTGCTGTACCAATAGTTGCACAAGTCCTTGTTCTTCATAAAAAAAAAAAATTGGAAACTGTAAGTGGTAGATGCATTTGGGTGAGATTTGCCTAAGAACTTCAGTCAGCTGACCCAGAAAAGAAATAGTCAAAAAGTACACAACCTGGATAAATGTCTTCTCAAATATCCGCTTCTGTCCTGAGTCACTCCCCAAGCCTTCTCGAAAACACCTATGACCAGAATGCTGCTCCTTTGCCTTTTAGAGTTAAAAAGGGCAAGACAGAATGAAATTAAAACTTTAGTCTGATACTTCGTTTAGCTGAAGAGTCTACATGTCCGCTAGTTACTGTCTCATTTGCCGCGGAGGAAACTAGGAGAGGGTCGATTCTGGCCAAGGGCGTGTTTGGATTGGACCTTAACAGTACCACCGGCGAGCTAGCGAGACTGGAGCCGCCACACCGCCTCGCTCAGCCTGTCTCTTCCCTTGGAGAACGAGAATAATGAGGACACCACATCAGACGGGGGTGTGAGAATTCAGGGAGAATCTACTTCGATGCTTCGCACAGGCCCGCCTCGCAGAAGGCAGAAATGTGAGGCAGAGTTTCCTCACTGCGTCCCTTGTGCCGCAGTGTCTCGCCCACAGGCTCTAGCGAAGGTGCGCTGACTGCAGGTTATCATTTCCGCAAAAGACAGGTTACCGGGCGAGGTGTCTTCCTGTGGAAACTCAAGCTTGACAGCTTTTATTGACACGCAGCATGTTTCATCCTCAGCACTGCCCGTCTCCTCCGGACGTGTACACTGCTGCTGTCACTCCCTCTCCTCAGAAATTCCCATCATACCATCACTGAGTTGGGTGGGACGGGATATCACTTTCCATTTTTCTTCTTGTGCTGGGGATCGAACCCAGGGCCTCGTAAATGCTGACCACTACCAGTGAGAGTCATCCGCAGCCCTTTTGATTTGTATTTTGAGGCAGTGTCTAAATTGCCCAGACTGGCGTCAAACCTGCTATGCTCCTTCCTCAGCCTTCCTAATCCCTGGGCTTACAGGCGTGTGCCATCACACCCAGCTTCCCTTTTAATTTATGAATCTGTAGTACTGCTGGTAGAAGAAAGAAATATAAAATGGGCCTGGTGTGGTGGCACACGCCTATAATCCTAGCACTCTGGGAGGGTGAGGCAAGAGGACCACAAGTTCTAACCCTGCATGGCAACACAGTGACTTAGCAAGACGCCATCTCAAAATAATACATTTTTTAAAAGGGGAAAGATGCTGTGGATGTAAGTCAGTGAGGGTCCTGAACAAAAGAGGGGAGGGGAGGGGATGGGAGGGTTACTCTAGGTAAGAATGTGGTCTGAAGAGAAAAGCACTTTGAATTTGAGGAGCTCCCTGGTGGCAGTTTAGTTGTCTTGGTGAAGACCGAGCACTGAGCAGTGAATAGGACAGAGAAGAGGGTGACTGGGAGAAGCAGTTATGGCTCTGGTAGCATTTGGGGGAGTTAAGAGGCGGCCACATGATCTTATCTTCTAGCTCAACTGGTTGGGTGATGCCAATTTGGGGATTAGCAAGAAGAAATTGGAGTTTGGGGCAGAGAAAGGAGAGGGATAATATATTTAATCTCTGACATTTTGAATGTGAAGGACCTGTGGGATATCCTAATATCCACCAGGTACCTGGAAATTTAAGGGAAGATACAAACTGTCACAGGCAAAACACACACCCAGGGGCAGGTGGGGCCGATGATAAAAGCTGTGGAAATAGATGCTATCTTTAAAAGGAATACTGAGAAGAATGCCTAGGACTGTATCTTAGAGACAGCAGCATGTGCAGTGTGGGAGGGTGTCCTTGTGCGTGCACATTTCAGTGGTTTCACCTGGTAGTTTGTTCTCTCTAGCAATAGATATAATGGAGCTGTCTATACTAATGTTATGTAACTTCAGGCATACTATTTAACAGCCTTTTTTCCCCCTCTCAATTTTAGTCTAAATACCATTTTGCTGAGTTTGGAGTTCCTCTGATGTGAATTGTTTTAAGGAAACTAGTAATTTTTATAACATTTAAACTTTAATCTTTCAAAATGATGATGTGAATATATTAGTCACTTTAATTGCTCTTTCCCTCCACAGGAGCTGATGCAACAGAATGGGATTGGATATGTGCTAAATGCCAGCAGTACCTGTCCAAAGCCTGACTTCATCCCTGAGTCTCATTTCCTGCGAGTGCCTGTGAATGATAGCTTCTGTGAGAAGATTCTGCCCTGGTTGGACAAATCAGTGGATTTCATTGGTGAGTGGCTCAGTAGCATTCCTTGGTTACAACGTCACGTGCAGGTGTGGCCTCTCCCTCCCCGTTTTGCCTTTAGAGGACAGAAACCTACTTCAGAAATGTTGGGACTCTGAAAACAGCACATGATGCTGCCTATTCATTTAGCGGTCAGTGGTGTCCCTAAGGCACTGGGCTTGTGACCTCCTGGCTGTGAACAGTACCAAAGGTTTTTTTTGTTTTTGTTTTCTTGGTACCGGGGATCAAACTCGGACTTTGTGCTTGCGAGGCAGGCACCGGAACCACTGAGCTAAATCCCCGGCCCAACAGTACCAAAGTTGAGCCTTCACAGGTCTGTGATTGGAGTTGTCTGAACATCAGTTAGGCTTCTGGAGTTAAACTCCATCCTCCCCCTTCCAACCCGATGAGGTGCTCAGGGAAACTCTGAGTCCCCATTGCCTTGTTGCAAAGTGTTTCCCAGAGAAAAGTCACAGTTCTGTGAACACAAATCCCATTACATTGAAAGTCTGGTTTTTTTTTTTTATGTCACAAGATGCCTAAGCCTCAGTCCATGTGTCAGTTTTCTTCTTGGGTCTAATGAAATTCCAACCCAGGCACACACAGGTGCATGCGAGGTCGTCTCCTGGATGGTGTGGACAGCAGCTGACCTGTCCCTTACTCTGTCCACCTCCGGGGCTGTCGTGACCCTGCCGTGCCGCAGGTCAGATCTCCCGGTATAGCAATGTGCATTTGAAGTGGTTTCCCTGGACAGTGGCTGAGCACAGAGGGAAACAGCATAACAAGGTGTTGACTGTCACTCAGGAATTTTTGTCGTCCCTGTCCCCCCCCCCCCCCCGCATGTAAGTTTGAGGACTCTACTGAGATTACTCGGAATTACTGTAATTAAAAATAAAAGAACCAGTTCCTTTAAAAAAGTAAAACTACGTAATTAAGCACCTGGTCTTTATTTTTTGAGACAAGGTCTTGCTGGGTTGTAGTCCAGGCTGGCCTTGAACTTGTAGGGATCCTCCTGCCTCAGCCTCCTGAGTGCTGAGATTGCAGGTGTGCACCACCACACCCAGCATCTGATCTACATTTGAGAGGAATTTCTAGGCAATGCTTTCAGAGCGCTAATTCTGAAACAGTTCTTTCAAGATTTCCAGATTGCCAAGGGCTTTTATCTTCAAGAACGCATTCTGTGAAAATCTGAAGATAGCTGTGATTGTCTCAGTGTGAACTGTCACAAAGAAAATTCCCAAAATTAACTCTTCCCATTGTATTTCCAGGAAATATATTCAGCATAGCACTCAATTTTTGCCTCTCTAAAAGAGCAGCAGTTATGGTTAATGTTCTCATCGCATGTCACACTGATCCAGAGACACTGGCTCTAGTTTCAGCTAGAAACACAATTTGAGAATCTCTGTGGGTCGAAGAGAACATGAATCTGCTGTGACGGTTTATCTGCATTTAACTTGCTTGGTCCTATTTACTGTGGCCGCTGCTGTTTCCCACTGAAATTATACAAGGCAGACTTCCACATGTTTATGTTCACTGCAGTTGCTCATCATCTCCGCATGGCCTTCTCAGCGTGGTATCACGGCAGTGTGTGTGTTACAAAGATGCAACTTGCACACCTATAGAATTTTCGTTTTGTTCTTTAAATTTCAGTAAGTCCCTGGGTTTGGGGGAAGGACTCAGGTTGTTGTGGAGTTTTATTTAGCAGCAGGCAGCAGTAACTGTTGAGCTGTTGTGCTGTGGGGACCAGCTGGCTGCTTCCACAAGCCCTGCTTCCTCCCCACACCAAACTCACTACTCGAGGTGATGTCCCCTGACTGTGGGCTTTGGAGCCAAGCTGTACTTGAGCTCTGTGTCCCTGGCTCTTAGCTACGTGGTTTGGGGCAAGGTACTTCACACTTGTGCGTCCGTTTCCTGAACTGGAAACTGAAGAGAATGCAACTGCCTTACAGGAATGTATGTGTATTTCTTTTTTTGAGATGGGAGGTCTCACTGTGTTGCCCAGGATGGCCTCAAACTCCTGAGCACAAGCAATGCTCCCATGTAGTTGGGGCCATAGGCACTAGCACCATGCCCAGCTACTAAATAGCTTCAAAGTTGTCATGAGGGGTGTCCCCTTGTTCATTTGTGGTCCCCCCCCCCACCGTGTCTGTGACACTGCCCCCGTGTTTCCGGTGACACCATCACTGCCTCCTTGCATCCTGGTTGGAACCTGCCACCTTCAGCGGCTCCTCAATTTCCTACATACAACTGCGTCCTTCAGCCGGATGTTCCCAAGAACCCCCCACCAGCGGCTCCCCACCTGTGGAGTCTTCTCTCTGGTTATTTCCCACCCTGCTCATGAGTGCCAGCCAAGCCAGGCTGCTCATTCCCACTGCAGGCATTTCTCGGCGCATTTGCCACCTCCTCTCGGCTGGGCTCGTGTGTATCACTTCCTGTAGGACTCAGCCCAGCACCCATGTCTGCCGGAACCAGTGTGCCAAGGAAACCCACTCCAGGATAAGTGCTTTTTGATTCTTAAAAATACATTATCAGGTGCCTGCCTCGCAAGCGCAAGGTCCCAAGTTTGATCCCTGGTACCAAAAAAAAAAAAAAATTATCAAAAGTTATGGTTGCAAAAACAATGACACATTAAGATGGGGTCAAAGGGCAAGAACCAAGAAAGATGGGACTAGGAAAGGTACAGTAACTAAACAAAACATCCAAATTCTTACTGAAATTAAGTGAAAGTTGTAGCTTTGAGCTTCTTAGCAGCTAATGCAGAAGGGAGAATGCTGAGGCTTTACGTGCACCCGTCTGTGTATTATTTTGTAGTGTGCTGTGGACTTTCAGTGTCGCTTTGTATTCACCTGTATTGCTTCAATGTTTGGTTTTCCTATCTAGAAGGGAAGTATATTCATGTACTATCCAAGGCTTATAGGTTATCTTGTACAAAGAGAATGAATACAGTGATACCGTGGTTCATGATCTCAGTTCTCTCCACAATTCTGGTCACAAAACCGAACTGGACAAGAACTGAATCAAATTTCCCCTAAGGTCAACATTGAACCTCACCACTGAATTTGATTCGGTTCTCGTCCAACTTAGTTTGCAACCAGAATCATGGAAACAATCAAGTTCGTGAACCAAGGCACCACTGTATATTATATACATTAGAAGTTTGTACTACTTAAAACATAGACATTGAGACTGGAGTAGCCTTCTATTATTCAGCTGCAAGAGCAGCAGATTCCTTGCATACTTGTTCACATTTTTAATGTAAGTTTTGATCAACTCTTAGTAGTACCAATTAAAAATGAGAAGGGAAGAATGAGCCTGTAATTTCAGCACTCTGTGAGGCTGAGGCAGGAGGATTGCCCAGCCTGGGTAACTTAGCCAGACCCTGTCTGAATATAAAAATAAAGGGCTGGAGATACAGCTCAGTGCAAAGGCCCTGGGTTCAGTCTCTAGTACTAAGAGGTAGAAAGAAGGAAAGAAGATGGGAGGAGGAGAGGTGGTAGCTGGCAGCAGCAGCTTCATGGCTGAGCACACACATAACTGAGAACCGAGGCCGCCCAAGCGCTGCCCTGAGTGTTAGTGCTCCGGTCCGTCCAGGGTAGAAAATAGAGTATTAGCTATGTCTTAGGTACAGACTTTTGGGTGGGTCTTATTTCCTTTTTACACTTTTCTGTATTTATGAAACTTTCTAAACAAGCAGAATCATATGATGTAGGATTTATACCCTGTACATTTTATTAAAATAATAATTAAAAAATATATCTGGTGAAAAGTGCTGAAATGAGTTGGACAACTTGAATGAGTAATGTCACTTATGAACGTGTTTAGAATTTAACTGTCCACTGCATACCAATGGGGAGGAAAATATTCTCCCCACCCTCCTCTGAGGAATGAATCCTGCAAGGGTAACTGTGCCGTAAGCAGCTGAGATTTGCTTTGAGGTTTTGGGGTGAAGACACCGGGCAAATGGCAACAAGATTTCATTGCTGACTTTTTACCGGTGCCCTTTCTTGGCTCTCACTCATACAGAGAAAGCAAAAGCCTCCAATGGATGTGTCCTGGTCCACTGTTTAGCTGGGATCTCTCGCTCCGCCACCATCGCCATCGCCTACATCATGAAGAGGATGGACATGTCTGTGGACGAGGCTTACAGGTGAGGACAGGAGCGCGGGCCCTGAATCACACGGCGCTGTGATGCTGGCAACCAGATGAAAGCAGATCCCCATTGCTTTAATCACACGCTGTACAGGTTACCGCGGATGTTTGATTAAATGGCCCTGCCAAGCCTGGAAAAGAGTGGTTTTAATATTTGGCATTCATTTTGCCCTAATGCATCATACTTACCCTCTGCTACTTTAAGTCTCAGAAACAACAAATTCAGGCAGAGATTCCCCTCCTCGTGGGAAGTATCAATAATTCTAGTTTGCATACAAGGGGGGAAGGTGGCAGTAGAATGTTTGACAGAATCTACTCTGCTTTACTTTTAGCCAAATACATGCAAGTGTAAAATGAGTCATCGAACTCTCTCACTGGGTAGAACTGGCTGATGATTCTGCAGTGCAATTGTGACCAGGCTGCACTCGCCTTTTCTCACAAGGGAAAGCAGCGGGACTGCTCAGGCCTGGAGTGTGTTTGGCGACCGAGTCTGAGTCGGGTGGCCATTGTTGAGTGCAGAGGGCTGGTTTTTTGGTTTTCATGCAATAATCAGAAACTCCGTGTGGAGCAGGCCCGGGTAAGCAGCCCCATTTTCTTCCTCCTTGGCTTGTCGTCATTAGAGGAGGTACTTGGAGGCCTCTGCGCCAGCTCCCTCCCTCCAGCTCTGCTCAAGGCTGCCGCTCTCACCTTCACATCCATCGGGAGGGAGCAGGCTCCTGGCGGCCCTATGTTTGTACTTGTTACAGCTGAACCGGTTAGTGTTGGCTTTATTCATTTGATGTAGGTTACTTGGAGTTTATTTTAAATTCTTCTCATTCCCTATTCAAATACAAATTTTCAGTAGTTTAATTCTTGTGTCATCTGACAGATATCCCTGAGTTTCAGGCACCACTGCAGAATTTGTCTAATGTCTGAGTCCTTGTTAAAATCAGTTACTGGTTTTGATCCCTTGATGAATCGTTTTTAACATGGTGATTTCAAAATTGGACCCAGACTTTGGACAGACTTGGCTTTGAACCCCGACACCATCATTTACTAGCTCTGTGATTTTGGACACATCCACCTAAGGACTTTGTACTCTGTGGGAATAAACACCACCTTCTGCAGGGTTGGTCTGAGGACTGAACCACTAATTCAGTGCTTTAGCATCGTGCTTAACATCCTCAGACCACTTTCTGGCTGCAGCTTCGGTCACGCTGAGTACCAAGAAAGGAAGTCAGAATTAGGTGCTTTGATACTCTGACCATCTGATACCATCTTTTTTGTCAATTTAAAATGTGAAATGTCTTGAAGTGACTGCAGACATTGAAAGGGGTCGTCAGAAAACAGAGCTGGCAAGTGACTTTTGTGCTTGGTATGCATATGCGGGTGTCCCTGGTGGTGAGCAAAGATCATCTGCCCAGTTGCACTGGGAACTGCAGACCCTTGAGCCAGGAGCTAACACGAGAAGTGGTGGGCCTGGCGCCGCCCTCCAGGACATGCTGAGTGTGGCAGGGGCACTTGTGTCTAGCTTCAGGGGCCTCCCTGAACTTGTCAGCCATCATCTTCCAAGGTATTTGGGAAGGTCTGCCTGATCACTCGTGTATTCACGTATTATTAAGATAAAGGGTAGTTGTAAAATCAGTGTTTGCTGCTTCCTCTCTTCACAGATTTGTGAAAGAAAAAAGACCCACTATATCTCCAAACTTCAATTTTCTGGGCCAGCTTCTGGACTATGAGAAGAAGATCAAGAACCAGACTGGAGCATCAGGGCCAAAGAGCAAACTCAAGCTGCTACACCTGGAAAAGTCAAATGACCCTGTCCCTGCAGCCTCGGAGGGTGGACAGAAGAGTGAGATGTCCCTCAATCCACGCTGTGCCAAGCCTGGTGCCTCAGAGGCAGCAGGGCAAAGGCCTCTGCATCCTGCCAGCGTGCCTAGCACGCAGCCATCGCTGTTAGAGGACAGCCCACTGGTGCAGGCGCTCAACGGGCTCCACCTGTCCTCAGACAAGCTGGAAGACAGCAGTAAGCTGAAACGTTCCTTCTCCCTGGATATCAAATCGGTTTCGTATTCGGCCAGCATGGCAGCATCCTTACATGGCTTCTCATCAGAAGATGCTCTGGAATACTATAAACCCTCCACTACCCTGGATGGGACCAACAAGCTCTGCCAGTTCTCCCCAGTTCAGGAAGTGTCAGAGCAGACTCCGGAAACCAGCCCAGATAAGGAGGAAGCCCACATCCCCAAGAAGGCCCCACCTGCCAGGCCTCCAGAGGGCCAGAGCAAGCGACCGCACACAGTAAGAACCAGCAGCAGTGGTGCCACGCAGAGGTCCTTCTTATCTCCACTGCAGCGAAGTGGCAGCGTGGAGGACAATCACCACACCAACTTCCTCTTTGGCCTTTCCACCAGCCAGCAGCACCTCACCAAGTCTGCTGCCGGGCTGGGCCTCAAGGGCTGGCACTCCGATATCCTGGCTCCTCAGACCTCTACCCCCTCCCTGACCAACAGTTGGTATTTTGCCACAGAGTCCTCTCACTTCTACTCTGCTTCGGCCATCTACGGAGGGAATACCAGCTACTCTGCCTACAGCTGCAGCCAGCTGCCCACTTGTAGTGACCAAGTCTATTCTGTGCGTAGGCGGCAGAAGCCAGGCGACAGGGCTGACTCTCGGCGGAGCTGGCATGAAGAGAGCCCCTTTGAAAAGCAGTTTAAACGCAGAAGCTGCCAGATGGAATTTGGAGAGAGCATCATGTCAGAGAACCGGTCCCGGGAAGAGCTGGGGAAGGTGGGTAGTCAGTCTAGCTTTTCAGGCAGCATGGAAATCATTGAGGTCTCCTGAGGAGAAAGAGACTTGTGATTGCTATTGACAGTTTTTCTTGTTCACAAAAAATTTCCCTGTAAATCTGAAATATGTATATGTATATACATATATATTTTTGGAAAATGGAGCTGTGGTGTAAAAGCAAAAGATAGATCAACACAGTTCTCTCTCAACATCTGCATTTGAGAGAGGAACTACTATTTCTCTCAACAAAAGCGGAAGGGCAGGTGCTAGAATTCCCCCTATGCAGAGTAATTCTAGTCCATGAATCGCACATCTTCTCATTCCTACAAAAGCAAGTTTATCCCCCTCCCCTGACGGTCACATCGTGCTGCAGAGATCTCAGATGCTCACTGATCTTTGCCCAGTCCCTTCCCCAGTGCACCTTAGTGCTGAGACTGAGCCAGCTGTGGGTCCAGGGAGCCCTCTAGGGACGGAACCCGAGGGGTAAATCCCAGAGAAATGATCCTCTCCAAAGCTAATGCACAAACCCAAGCTCACCTGCCAGCCGAGTGATTCACACATCACTGCTGGACAGACCACTGAGGGCGTCACCCGGATCGACGGTAGAACAAACTAGTACCTCAGACAGGACAGTCGGGGTGTTCACCACTACCATGTCTGGGAGCCTGTTTTCCAGGCATTGTGAACAAGTAGTGAGTCAGTTTCCAGACCAATTCAAACTGCGTGCACAAAATTCCAGTTAGTATTGAACAGAGTAGTTGCTATCTTCCCTCTTCCCAGCTTTCAGAAAGAAGGGCACCTACCTAGGATTCAACTTAGCCAGGAATCTGACAACATGATTTAAGCTAAAGTTAGGAGGGTAACCGTGTCTGCCTCTCTCTATAAATCAGAGTTGTTTAAATGGGACTTTTAATCCTTTAATTGAAGACTGACTTGGTTTAAAGCCAATGTGAATTACCTGAGTTGGTAATAGTGACAGAACCTTCAAGTTCTCAGCCAAAATTGGTGTTTTCTATTTCTGTTTCACTGTAATGGATACAGTTTGTAAAAGTGTAACAAAGCAGAATTGTATAGGAAACCACCTAGAGAGAAAACTACAGAGATTAAGGAAGGTAAAATTTACGGAGAAGCAGAAAACATTTCCTTGATGGGTTTTCTCCCCCTTGGCATGAAGGTGGTATTTGTGTAATTCCTTCAGACTTTAAAATTCACCAATAGGGATGAGAAAGGTTTTGGGAAATGGGGAATATTCAGAATAAAACAGTATAGGACGATGAAGAGAAGGCTATTGGATCTTGTTCAGTTGTGAATAGAATGGAAGGTCACAGCCAGCTCTTTTCAGGAACTCTCCCCTTCGTGTGTTTTTAGTATCCCAGTGGGGTGAGACGAGGTGGTCTCTCAGTCTGTGTCCTAGCCACTGTACGGAATCAGTCCTGGCAGCTGGAAACAGGTGGTGATTAGAACAGTACATAAGTGACAGTGCGGATCTGCTTTCCCCCTTCCTGGCTTGTGTTTTATCAACTATTGTACGGTCCTCTTTTGAAGCCTTCCCATCAGCTTTTTGGGGGGTGAGGAAGTGGGGCAGGTGTGGCCGTTGTTCTTTACTGTTAAGTGTAGCTAGTTGCTGACTTGTATCTCAGGTTTCTGTTTGAGAAATGGATAGTCCTCTGACAAGGACGCAACTTCGTGTTTCCTATGGTGACTGCTAAAACCAGCACAGAATGACACGATTCAGAACCGACTGGCTCAATCACGAGGGTTGTGGGCTTCACAACCCTCGTAACCAGTTATACACAGCTCATGTGCTACATGTGGCTGTAGGATGGAGGCTGAAGTGTAAGCTGCACGGGGAGCATGTTACCGTCCCAAAAAGGTGGTGTTTACGATCTGATTTTTCTATGTACACCTTTTATGTAATCAGGCATCCCCAAGCTTTCACGTGGTAGTTCTGATGTGTCATGTGTACACCAAATGTGCACCAGTTCACATCCAGAATCTGGTCGGACCTTTTAAAGAGATGAAACCAACAAGTCCATTGTTGAAGCTGTTTCAGGAGGGTAGGGAGGCTTGGGTTAAACACGATCATCAGACAAAAGCTGACCTTGTGCGGTGTAGGGTTTCTCCTGAGCACGGTCCCTCCCCTCCCTACAACTGTGTCGCAGTCACACGCCACAGCCTGTAGTCCTCATCACGTGTGTCATGTCATCAGTTTTGGGATCCAGAGCGCATGCCTGGGGCAGCTCTTGGGGCAGGGCCGGGGTGGCCCGCCCAGTGCGGTGGCTCCCTGCAGTGCAGTCACAAGGAAGCCTAGAGTCACCTGGGGCGGCACAGAACGATCTCCTACGTGAGAAATGCGGGAAGATGGCTCAGGGCACTTGTAAAGTTAGGTGCAAAGGCTGTATAAATGTTTAATCTGCACACAGGGTTCCTCTGGAATGAGGCAAGCTGTTGAATGGTTAAATTGTGCATTTCTCAAGTTGGTGTGTTATGTATGTTAATATGATGAAATAAAATCAGAACTGGTACCTGTTTATACATAAATGTGAGAAAGGACCTTTTTGCCGAGACTCGCTGGAAACTGCAGTGACCAAGCTGCCAAACAAAGGCGGTAGTGGTGGACGCTTTCCTGTTCTCAAGTTAAATGGGGATTTAGCTCAAAATAAAGTGGTGGTGGTATCCAATCTAGTGTGTGCTCTCGTTCACTGGCCCCTGGATCGGTGGCTGACAATAGTGTCTGCTGCCTCTAATGTGCAGACTGCAGTGTAGAATCCTAGGGCATTTGGTTCCAGCACACACAAGTAGGGGTGGGGAAGAGACCAGCTACAACACATGTGCACATTTTAATACAGTGTGTGATCTTATAATTACGGGAAGAACTGAGGAAGGATTGGTATTAAGGATCTGTTCTCCAGCCATGCCATGCATGCCTTAATGAACTACCTTTGTGCTTAGGACCCTGGATATGACATGAGACTGGTAGCTTAGTCTCATCAGTTTAATACAAATTATGCATTAGAGGAAATGAATTTACCTGCAGTGCAAGCAGATGGAATGACTGTCAGCCAACTCACAGTGACCTCACTGATTTTGGCTGTAAGACTTTTGAGCTGATTAGATGTAAGAAAATTTAAAGGCAAGAAGGATTAGACTGGGTGAGCTAGCACTAGAACTGGCTTGGCCAGGACGTTGCAGAAAAACTACTGGTAAACCACTGGTGGGAGAGGAGAACAAGCAGCTCGTACAGTAACTGTCTCCAGAGAGGGAACAGGCGATTGAGGGAGAGGCGACCCACTGAAGACTGCGGGGAGGCCTTGGGCCAAGCTCGCTGTCTGCTTGCATAAGGGCCAGTCAGTTGGAGCCTCCCAGAGACTAGTTTAGACAAAAACTTCACTAAGGGGCTAATTGGGAAGGTGTAAGTTTCTGAGATGTGGAACAAACAAAATGTGGTAGAACTGCAGTGAGCCCTGAGTGTCCGGAGACGACGTGAGAGTAGAGTGTATACCGGAACTAGTTAATGAAGACTTTTGAGCCTCAAAATGTTCACTGCTATTTTAAATACTGTTGTCTACTTTCATTTTTCTGACATTAGATAGGAATGTTTTAGGTCTAGTAAACAGTATTTTTCTAGGCACTTTATTACTCTTCTGCATCTATAAAAGGAAAATGGAACCAAGTGATTCCTAGCATTCTGAGAGGCCCATTCATCCTGGTACAACAGTATTCTACTTGGTTTTATCTTTAAAGTGTTGGGAGATTAACTGGAAAATTACAGCACTGTCTTGAAAGATACTTACAAATCAGTCATATTATTGCGGTTTGTGTTTATGTCAAAAGTTTCATTCTTTTGGTGCTAGATAAAACTTCAGACTCAGTTAAAGAAAATACTGTCCCGGGCCGGGGATTTAGCTCAGTGGTTCCACCACCTGCCTTGCAAGTGCAAGGTCCCAAGTTCCATCCCTGGTACCAAAAAAAAAAACACAAAAAACTGTCCCACGTGAAATGCAAAATGTGACCTTGAAACAGTATCCTAGACAAACGGTGAGCGGGAAAGGGTTAGCTCAGCTGAGGCCTGGGCTACCTCTGGTCAGGGAACGACAATGGTCTCAAAGACTGAATTTTTTTTTTTGGTACCGGGGATCGAACTCGTGTCCTTGAGCTTGCGAGTCAGGCGGCAGAACCACTGAGCTAAATCCCCGGCCCTCAAAGACTGAATTAAAAATACTTGGTTTGCAAAAGCTTGCAGCATAAATCATACCTCAAGGAATGAACCTTGATTGGTGAAGAAAAATTATTTGGGTCATCAGTAAATTCCTGCAAACATCAGGGTGACACTGTGTGGCAGAGGAAATGCACTCACCTCAAGCAGCTGGGGAAGGGCCACGTCCCTGTCCCCAGGAGGGCAGCCCATGACCTAAGCTCCCTTCCACAAGGCCCCGCCTGCTACAGGTTCCCCCACCTCCCAGTAGCACCGCAGGCCCCTGAAGGGCACTGAAGACCCAAACCACAGCTCTGAGGCTCAGGGAAAGGAAATGGCTCACCGGTGACGAAGGCTGGACTTCCAGGCTGACTCCCCATCCCTGAGACACCTACAGCGGCCAGGTAAGTCGCCAGGTATGAACTAAGTCAGGCCTCCATGGGGAAAGACAGACACGGAAGAGGGAAGGGCTGGGGATGCCCTGTCAGCACACAGGGTTTTCCGGTCAGAGACCCATGGGGAGGGTGCGGAGCACGGGGCGTGCCCTTGGGGTCCGTCGAAGCAGGGATGGAAGCTGGCAGCGGTCTCGGCAGGCAGCAGGGAGGGCTGAGACCTGGGCCTGCCCTCACCAGAGGACCAGAAGGAGAAGCAAGGGCTCACTCACATTTGCCCCGGGGCTTGGAAACACTGAAGGCAGGGTTCCGCGGGAGCTGAGGGGGCTGTGGTCCAGCCACTGCCCACTCGAAGGGGCAGCAGAGCCCAGAAACTGCACGGAACAGCACAGGGCCTGACCGACTCGACTCTGGATTAGCAAGGCCACTGCTGTATTCCCGTCCGGATCTGGCGAGGACTTCTCCTGCAGCCAGCCCTCACCAGAAAGGAACTCTGGGAAACAGTTCAGCTCAGCCAAGATGACACTGCAAAACCACCACACACCATGCAGATTAACACGAACTCCTTACAAAACCAATGATTCTGCCTACTGCTCTTCTCAGCCTCTACCCAGTAACAAGCAGACTTTGTCTGCTTTGGACCCAAATCTTAATACAATGTTTCTAAGAAGAAAAAGAGCTGGCTGGGAGTTTTTTCATGACAGGCTGGGCATGCTTTTCTGCCTGCGTAAAACAGTAAGTGCTGAAACAGTGAGAAAGCCCTACCTCGACGGCTCCCTCCGCAGCACAGTTTGTGATTTCGTCAGTGTCACGAAGTGCAGGGAGGATGGTTTTTATAGCTCTGTAGACAACCAGCCATGGTCAGAGTTGGATTCTAAACACTCTGAACTCAAAAAACCCACAATGATGGTGATGGCTTCAAAATGCCACCTCTTGGCTAGGTATGGTGGCACTTACCTGTAATCCCAATGGCACGTTCAAGCCCAACATGGGGAACTTAGCAAGACCTTGTCTCAAAAATTTTTTTAAAAGGCAAAAAACAAAAACCCACCTATCAGACCAAGTGAAGGAACTACAAGTATTCATTCATTCATACTGCTTGAAAATTAAAAAAAAATAAATATGGTGAAACCTAATCTAGCCATTTCAAATAGTGAAATATATACAGTATTGTGAAATTATTAGAGCAGTACAAAAACAATCACGGAATGAAGCATATGGAAAAGGCCAGAGGATCAGAATACAGTCTGGCGCTCGATCCTCAGCTACCTGATAGGATACTGCAAATCATAGAGGGAAACATGTCATTTACCCCTCTTCACCCTATACCATTTCCTGGGACAACCTTGCTATTTAATAGGTTTCTAAGTTACAGAGCATCTCTCTTGATTAGCATCTTCTAATGGAGTGTCTGAGAAATGGTTAAAGGACGCAGTAAAATCCTGATCACCAGAAAGAACTGTGAGTACGAGCTGCTGTCACTGGGGAGCCAACAGGGGAACAGCTCCCCACTTCCAGCTCACCACTCCAGTTCTGCACAACACCCTGACCTCCTTTCCCTCCTCAGTGCACAGCTCCCGCCTTCCTATGGGGAAGGGAAGGCAACCGTTCCCAGGAGGCACAAGGAATCTAAAGGGTCCCCTGCAGATGCTTCCTTGGGCCTCTTCCCTTGGCTCCAGTTTCCAACTTGTCTTTCTAGTTCTGAGGAAATGAACAATCTTGGTTTTTATTTTTGGTCATGAGAAAATACTAGACGCTAGGCAGGCATGCCTATAATCCCAGCATCCTAGGAGGCTGAGGCAGGAGGACTGCAAATTTGTGTCCAGTCTGGACAATTCAGTGAGGTCCTGGCTCAAAATAAAGGGAGGTGTGTGGCTCAGTGAAAAGGCCCTGGGTTTAACCCCAGGTGCTGCAAAAAGAAAGAGGAGGGGGGAGGGAAGGAGAGAGGGAGTAAGGGAGAGAAAAAGGAGTGGAGGGAAGGAGAAAAGAAGGAAAGGGAGAAGGAAGAAACGGAAAGAAAATACTAGAAGCTATGTAAAACTTTTTTCCCATGTAGTCTGAAAACTCATGCTTATTCTAGTTTGCTGTCCTACATTTGATTCTGGGTTCTATGAACCTTACAAGGTAGCATCTGATTAGGATCCAAGATTAGAGTCCTATGAGTTTAGCTGAGTTACGCTGAATTAAGCAGATCTATTTTAAGCTTAGAAATACGCGAGGCTGAGACACCGGGGAGGCTAGAGGCGGCAGGGGGATCCCAGCCCTGTGGCTTCCTGGGCTGGCTCTGGGTCTCTGCCTGCCACCAAGGCTGCTCTTTCCCGCCCGCTGCTTCTGTGACTGAACTGAGTGCTCTGAGTGTCACACTGCTCCACTTCCCCAGCTGCCACAGAAATCTCACGGCATTTTGCATTGTTTTTCTCTCTGAAATGAGAGGTCAGGCTGCCTCTGTGTCCTGGCACGGATTCTGCTCGTGAGTGGGTCCCCTGCAGGGCTGGGGAACGGGAACAGCTGCACGACAGTGGCAACCTCGCTCACTGGCCCTGTAAAGCGGGTGCCCCAGTCCTGCCGCACTGCTTTGATAAACAGAGCCCTGGACTGCTCTGAGTGGGTGGGAATCGCGAGAGAGGAAAGAGGGCGTCTTCAGTCCCACTGAGGACTTGCAGGGCTGAGAAGGGTGCCCAGGCAGGGCCTGCAGGTGGTGGAGACAGCTGGGGTGGGAAGGGCAACAACACACAGACTTGCATTCAGTTAGCTTTTTATGTCTACAACTCATAACCCAGGGAGCCCGAGTAAAACTTCACAAGGACACCAAGAACACAGCTATTAAAATGTTTTCCCTTCTCTCCACATTTTCACCCCAGTACCTAAGACTATATACACACGCAATTTAAAAACATGTGAGCAAAATACAGAGAACTGTCAACGCAGGGTTCTTTAAAGAACCCCTCATCGCCAGACGTTCCAGTTTCGGTTACCACCAAGCCCAGTGTGCTGAGGCGATGGTGGCCATCAGGTCCCGTGGCCGGCGGCTCCCTGTGCTGTGGGGAAGACCTGGAGCCGCACTCAGGCCGCACCACGGGACCGGGCTTGGGACCAGGCTCAGCACGCGTCCTCCGTACCAGCCACTCCTCGGCCTTCGGCCTTTGCGGAAGGGGAATCTTACAGCCTGAGCTCCCGCTCGGGCTTCATGCTGAAGGGCTCCAGGCGCTCGCCCTCGGGCAGCAGGCTGTTGAGCCGCTCCATGAGGGGCACCGTCTGGTCGATGCCCATCTGGATGCGGCGCAGGATGGCGGACATCTCGTTGACTTTCTGGATCTGCTCGGCGTATTTGGCATATCTTTTCTGGCGCTCCTGCATGAAGCTAAAGAGGGTTTCTACAGACAGGTCCATCTGCAGAAGGCAAAAAAAAGGAAAACACATTACACTTGCTTCCCAAGTCCTCGCAAGGTCCTGGTGCAGCAGGCAGAAGCGGCCGGGGGCAGCCACTGCTCTGCAGCTGTGGGGTCAGCGGCGACGGGGAGCAAAGGGACTGGGAATGATCAAGGTGGTCACACGCCCCCGCCAACCCCCAAGCAAACATCACTGCTCTGTAGGACAGACGTGCACTGAAAACAAAAAAAACCAAGACCGCTGCACTTCGACCAGGCTCTGGGGAGGACAGAGGGCTGCTCTCACTTCTGTGCTCGGAGCTGGCAAGACCCAGAGATCCTACACGAAAGCATCCTGGGCTTCAGTGGGTCAAAAAGGGCAGGATCCGAACCCAGTTCTGTGCCAGAAGCCACCCTTTCTGCCCCACAGGGCCTCGCTGACAAGGCACAGGGGACCAGTCTGTGCCCATGACAGCTTCTGGCCAGCACAAGGCCGCACAGCAACACGCTGCACAAGGGGCCCGGGCCACTTGGCACACCGCTTTGTCCTTGGTGATGACAGTGCAAACGAGGCGCAGCACTGACAGCCACACACAGGACATGGTGCTTGGTGACAGTGAACTAATGAACGCTGCATCACTGTCCAGTGTGCTCACTATATAGTACCATTTACTCTCAATCACTGCTTAGAGTGCATCCCTCCTACTGGGAAGAGCCGTGGGCAGGTCCCTCAGGAGGGATTTCAGAAGGCACTGTTGGGGCGGACAGCTCCACCTGCCGCACTGCCCGAGGCCTTCCAGGGACACAGTGTGGAGGTGGGAGGTGGTGACACTGCCACCCTGCCCCTACGTGGGCCCAGGTTGATCCCGGGTGGCGGAGGCGGTGCTGGACTGGAACCCAGGCCTCACGAGGGCACACTGGGCACGTTCTCTGCCACTGACCACACTCCAGCCCGCTAACTTTTGAACAAAAAAGTTTAAAAAGTACAAACAAGACAACTTAAAAACTGAGGAAAGCTTGCAGAACAAAGATATCAAGAAAACCTTTTGTACAGCTGTACAATGTATTTAAGTTCAGTGTTATTGTTAAGAGGCAAAAGGTTTTTTAAAAACTTAGAAGTTGCCGGTTTGTGGTGGTCCGTGACTATAATCCCAGTTACTCAGAAGGCTTCAAGGCCAGCCTGGGTAGCTTAATGAGACCCTGCCTCAAAATAAAAAAGAAAAAGGGCTGGGGATGTAGCTCAGTGGTACAGTGCCCCTGGGGTTTGATCTCTTATACCGCAAAAACAAGACAAACTTTAAAAATAAGTAAAATGTTATAGAAAGCTAAGGTTAATTTATTGTTGAAGGAAAAGTTCTTACAAATGTAGTGCGGCCTAAGGGTGCAGTGTGTATAAAGCCCAGGGGCCTGTGTACCCCACACTCACTCGCTCTCCCCGCAATTCCCAGCCCACAGGCTGCAGTCTCAGTGTGCCCCTACGAGGACTGAGCCCGGCCTCTGCGAGCTGACCCCCATACTGGTTTCATATAGCTCTCATTTGGAGATTGGGCCTCCCTCCCCTGCTCTGCCCTGCGTGGCTGCGGCAGGGACGGCAGAGGGGATGGCACTCTCCCGGCCAGGGCCGAAAGCATCAAGCAGCACCCACAGCTGCGGCCCACAGGGGACCATGCCACTGTGCACTTCCCCACCAGGCCACCCTGCGACCTATGCAAAGGCAGGGAGGGGCCGTTCCCCCACCCGAGTCTCTGCTCAGCCCAGAAGGACCATGCCTACAATAGTGCTCAAGGTGACCGCAACCCTTCCTCCCACCTCCAGTGCCAGCCGTCCTTCACATCCTGCCTTCCAGTGTCCAAAGCCAGGTCCGAGAAAAACTAATCAGCTCTGCGTTCTTCTTGGGGCAGTGAGGAGGGGAGGTGACGAAACCACCTTGGTGCTAATTCTTCCTTCTCTGCTCTGAAAACTGGGAGGGGCAAGGGAGACAGGAAACATCCAAGCAGGAATCTCCAAAAGAGGCAGATGTTGTCCATGTCAGAGGTCCTCTGCAGCCCAACCAGTCCCTCGGGACTGTGGCAGCAGTGCGGCGGAGTGACAGGGCTTGTAAGTCAACTGCCAGGCCTCTGGGGACCAGCCATTGGCGCAGCACCCTCTGCGGGACAGAGAGAACCCGCGTGGTGCACTCAGTGCCTGCTCGAGAACCTGCTCCTTCTCGGGCTGGCTCAGAAGTCCCATCCGGCAGAGGCCTTCCCAGCCTGCCACCCACAGCTCCACAGCAGACGGCCCGGGCGTGTGTGAAATGGTGCCCAAGGCTCCCGCGCATCAGGCCTGGGCAGTCACCGGGCCCACACACCCTCAGCAGCTCTCGGCACCCCCAGTGGCACATGCGTCCACGCACACTTCCACTCCCAGCTCAAGCCCGTGTTTCCTCTACCCAGAGCTTGTGTCCAAAGCCACTTAAGTTCAACGCACAAGTGAGCACACAATTCCAAGCAGGCTGTTCACACACGCTTATGTCATGCCTTTGAAGAGCCAATTCCATCAGAGTCCATGGGAGACAAACGCCACTGAAGAGGAAGGACAGACCTCCCAGGTCCCACAGCGATGGAGCCGAGGCCAGAGTCCAGATCTCCAAAGTGTGTCGTCTTCCTTTCATGTGTATTTCCTGAGGGAGAGACCGGGACCACGGGCGGTGTGGCGTAGCATTAATGCCACGCCACACAATGGGAGACCTGTCACTTTCTAAATTTTCCCCACTCTTCACTGCAAAGCAGCTCACAATTTGGTGCAAGTAATAATTTAATACCTGGAAAAGTGCCAAAGTGGTGACGCCAATTTACGGTCCTTCCCTTTTATTCTCAAGGCAACACCGCCTTTGACCCGTTATCCTTCTCTGCTCCCTAAACCCCAGGCACACACTTCCTACCACTTTCGCTGTGACGTCAGGCCATAAGCCAGGAGCTCGTGCATTCTGAACTCCCCATTTTGACACACAGCAACATATCCTTTTTTGCCTTTCCTATTTCTATTTTTGGCACACAGATTCTAACCAGACAGCACACATACAGTGGTGGCTCGGTTCACGAACAGATCTGTTTGCGAACAATTTGGTTTGGAAACAAAAGTGTCTGGCAAAATTGTTCTTGTTTGTGAACTCTGCATCGGGTGATGAACAAGACTGTGGCCATCTTTCTCACACGAACACAAATGTGGCCCTTTTCCCCAGAACCATGTGACGAATTAAGTTCATGAACCAAGGTACCACAGTAGTAATTGTAGTCATCTTTATAAAGAGGTATTATGGGGTCATTTAAAGTCCTCTCCCTGAACACTCCTTAGTCATTCACAAGATTGCTGTAGAGCTTAAGACAGGGCAATCTGTCTACACCAGTGATGGTGAACCTTGTAGAACTCTCATTGATACCAACAGCCCACTGTGGCGTGTGTGCCATAGGTTCGCCTCCACTGATTTGTGTGTAGCTAAAGGGCAGCCGTGAAGCTCTCTGTGAAACAGTTGAAGTTTTACTCATCAATCCCCTCATGGCCAGTCAGGCGCTGGCTGAGGTTACAGCTTCCGTCCGACCCCCTCAGCGTGGGTGCCATCTTCTATCCAGTAGCCATGTCATTTGGTCAGTGCAGATTCTACTGGGGCAAGGGTTTCGGTGTGTTTTAAACTCTGCTGTATCCTCAGTACCTAGCAGATGGGAGGTCCTGAAAGAAATGTTTGTCAAATAAATGAAAATGTATCTAAGCCTGTTTCCTCACCTGTAACAACAGTGGCTATTCAGGACTGTTCTGAGCACTGAGGACTGCTCACAGGTCACTTATTACAGCATCCGCAGAGTGAGCGCCCCTACCTGGGTGCCATTAATACACAGCCAGTCAGCAGACATTGAGGCATGCCGTCATGCGCCGTGGCTCGTGCCAGGTCCTAAGGATACAGACAGCAGGAACCAACACTATTCACACCACTGCTTACCATGTACATTAACGGACTTTTCTTTTCCACTGGCTCTGTTAACATGACTTTAATATTCCAGAAAACTAGGGCCAGCCCAGAGAGAAAAAAGTTGCAAATAACTTTGTTTCAGGAACTTGAAAAAATTAAAAAACAAACCATTTGATTTTCCAATAAACAGTGAAAAACTGTTTATTCTCCACAACTAACGCTTGCTTCAAACCCTCATACTGCTGTGACTGCATGACTGTCAGCCAAGAAAAGTGTGGCATGAGTCTGTGCTGCTGTCTTCTCAGTCCCTTGTCCCCCATGCCGCTGCTGGGGTGTGGATACCCAGGGTTGGGTGAGCAGGGAGTAGAAGGAGCCTGGCTTCCTGGGGACTCTGTGGGTAACAACAGTGCCAGGCCTGAAAGTTAAAAATAAACTTTCATTTTATACCAGGCACTGTAATTTGGGGCCTCTGTAACACTAGTTAAATGAGTGAGATGAAGCCCCTGTCCTCAAGAAATTAATGGTTTCATTAAACTCGCACTTTAACCATGCTCTGCATATTCATATGCTGTCTCTGGTGGCAGTACATTTCAAAGGACAGGTTAAAAAAAAAAAGAGACAATTTTGGGTATAACTGCAGGGTTCCCTAAGGCATTGGTATCTATAGAACCTGCTCAATCACAGATGCCTCAATGGGTGGTGTGGGCCTATTTGCCCATCTGCCTGATCTACAAGCAAGCCAAATCCAGGAACATACAAATGGGATACAATGTTATGACAGTGACTATCTTAAGGAGCTAAGCTTTTTTAGCCTCTGAAAATCCAAGTAATTCACCATTCCAACAGAAAAAAGTTACAAATTGTGTATTACTGCAGATGAACAAAAACATGTGACAAATCCAACATGCACTCATTTTGAAAAATCTCAGCAAAGGAAACTTTCTTAGCCCGATAGAAGTTATCCAGGGCCGGGGATTTAGCTCAGTGGTTTCGGCACCTGCCTCAAAAGCACAAGGACCCAAGTTCAATCCCCGGTACCGAAAAAAAAAAAAGGTTTCTATAGTTAGCATCACGGTCAC